AGCAGGAATTTGTTTTATGTAATGTTGATGTTATACTGTGTCATGTTTATCAAAATAAAACTGATTAAAAATATAGACCCCACCTCATTGGCATTTTCACAGTACTGGCTTATATTAAACTTTATTCTTGTATAGGCGCTGTATTAAGCAATAACATAAGTTACTGAATGAAAGGTGTTTCTGTAGCTTCATGAGACTATCTGAAAAGTCTGGTATTTGACAAACTATGCTTCTAATCCTGTGATAAAGTACGCAAATAATGTGCAAAAGACACTACAGGAAGCAGAAAGGGTCTGACTTGGCGCACTGTTTTTAATGCTGTCATTGACACCAAACACCATTGGTTTTCACATGTATCATACCTGAAAATTACATGCCTTTTTGGATATTTGGACTGAAGAATAAGATTTGTGAGCATTAATGGAAGCGACCATTTTCAGTGAATAATGACTAATATTTCAATCTCTCCCTGACATTTATTAATTTTCCAGGCGCTTTTTTCCAAAATACTACAAGTTTTCCTTAGAAAATCCTAGATTCACAGTACATAATATGAGAAGCACCAAAATGCTAAATTTAAACATTTGTCTCAAATATGTCTCAAATATTCTTCAAAAATTCTGGTTGCTACATGTTTGCCATGATATTCTGGGCGGTTGCTAGGGTGAGCTCTGTAGTTACTAGGGTGTTGATATGTGGTTGCTAGCGTGTTCTGGATGTTTCTGTGTAGTTAAAATGGTGTTTGGGGCATTTGCTAAGGCTTTGCTAAGCAATTGGTGATCTGGTTAGGGAGTTCCTTGGGTATTTTGGGTGGTTTCTAGGGTGTTGCTATGCAGTTGCTAGGATGATCTGAGTGGTTGCAAACTTGTTTTTGGGTTTCTTGTCTTTTTCAGAGCTTGATAGACATGGCCACTATAAACCGTTATTGGAAAAGTTTCCTCAAATATTCTTTAAAAATTCGAATTTTTTGTTCTAACTGCATACGGGTTTGGAACGACAAGGGTGAGTAAATAATGGCAGCATTTCATCTGTGTGAACTCTAAAACGTATCCTTTATTCCTTGTAATAGGGCAGTGGAAAGCCCATCTATTTTCGTGACGTGTGTCTGACATGTTCTGTGTATTCACAGCATGCAGCCCAATAAACCCACACTGTAAAAAAACAGTAAAAGACTGTAAAAATGCTACAGTAAAAACCTGTTAACTGGTTAACAGTAAGTTTCCATACTATATTCGGTGAATAAATGTAATGACATTTAATGTAATTTTACAGTAAAATACTGTTAAAAATACAGTTTTTGGAAGTGAAAAAGAAAAAGTCATTGTATAATTTGACACTCCCAGAATTCCCTGCATGACGCTTCATATTTGATGTTTTTTTGTTGAAATAACATGTTTTTTCTTAGTTTTTTCTTATCAGTTGTGTACATTATGGTTTAATCTTACATCTAATGTTGTTGAATGTTTATTGCATTATTTCAGTATCATGTGTGCATGGCCGGACTTACCATTAGGCTTGAGTGGGCTGCAGCCCATGGGCCCCGCCTTGTAGGGGGCACCGCCTTTGCCCGTTTACGTTTGTTTGAATTGTTCGTTATATGCCAGTCAGAATTTAGAAATTATTAGCCGCATTTCCACTGCGCACGCAAGATCTAAACGGGCCAGCCGGGGCTACAGCTTACAACTACGACATTCGAGGCCACAATCAAATAACATAAACTGGT